AAATAACCATCTAATTATTAAATAAGATCATATATCGAGTGCTTGAGAACATTGCCTGGCATATAGAAAACTTGTTAGGTATTAGATATCATTATATCTGTAATGATATCTATCTTTATCATAAAAATATTAATAGTACAATATTAGCATTTGCTATTATTGGTTATCATTTTTCTCCACCTCCTTCTACAAATTGGTGAAATAGAAAATATTATTCATGGAATTAATCTTTTCCTTTGCATTTCATTTTGAAAATGGTGCCATAGTATAGCATTTCCTGAATTATGTGCAATCTAGAAAATATCCAAAATAAAGCAAAAAAAAATTTTAACATAATTATCATAGTCTGTATGCAGTTGTTTTTTTCCAAACATGTGAAATGAAGACAGAATGAAAAATATTACATTATAAAATATATAGTAAAATAAATTTCATCATTTAAATAAAGCCATATATATATTGACCTGATAATCCTCTTTAGATTATATATTAATACCTCAAAAGCATTGAAAGAATTAATTGTATAATAAGAATTATATTATTTTCATTGTATTTTTTTTTTTTTTTTTTTTGAGACAGAGTCTCGCTCTGTCGCCCATGCTGGAGTGCAGTGGCCTGATCTCGGCTCACTGCAAGCTCCACCTCCCAGGTTCACGCCATTCTCCTGCCTCAGCCTCCCGAGTAGCTGGGACTACAGGCGCCCGCCACCACGCTCGACTAATTTTTTTTTTTTTTTTTTTTTTGTATTTTTAGTAGAGATGGGGTTTCACCGTCTTAGCCAGAAAAAAAGACTGGAAAACAGAGAGACTTTGGTAAGATAGAAGTTTAATGTTCCACTAACTTAAAGAGATTGGAATGAGGTGATCCCATTATTGAGTGGTTTAGGGTCACACGTCCCTAGTGAGTTGCATCCTTTTCTGAAGTCACTTTGTGGTCTAGAAAGGCTGCCTGAACTCTCTCTATCATGATCAAATTCTGGGAAGCAAGAGAAAGGGGGGAAGTGGAAAAAAAAATGCCCAAGCTGGCTATTTATCCCCCTTTAGAGATGCCGTCTCTAGAATCTTCACAGCAAATTTCTGCTTGCGTTCTTTGGCAAGAAATTCCATCACATGACCATGGCTTGCAGTGAGGGAGTCTGGAAGAGACAATATTTTAGGAGATTAAACTGCCACCTTCAATACAACTAGTGTTCTGCTAATGAGGAAGAATGCAAAGAGTGGATCCTGGGTGAGCAACTAGAAGCTTCTGTCTCATTCATTACAAATATGATATACAATTGAAAAAAAAAAAAAAGCATTAAACCAGTAACAGAAGTCTATAAAAGATTGGAAGGGAAAATTTCCTATGGCAGAGAGAACACTACATGTTTGTCAACCTCTGTCTCATTTTTCTCCTGGAGTCACCGGGAAATTACATTCCCCAGCCTCTATGCCTGTTAGGGCTCCATGCCTAAATTCTGGTTAGTGGACTGTTAACTAGCAGTGATGTTTGCCAGACCTGACCACTAAAACCTTCCATATGGCTCTCCATCTTCCCTCTTGTTTAGGCTGTTAGCTAGATGTAAAGAATGCAATGAAGGTCTTTAGGACCCAAGTAGATGGTAGAGCCACAGGATGGAAGAAGACTGGATCTCTTAATGACTGCTTAGAACAGAAAAACTTGCCCCTATTTGGCCCCGTGATGCCTTGAACCTTGACATCAGCAAAATAAACTTTTGGGGGATTGAACCTCTGAGATTTAAGGGTTGTTTATAGCACAAAGCATTGTATACTCTTAATTATTAGAGTCCCCAGTAATACACCAGCCTAGAGATGGCTTTCATTGATTTATTGATATTTTTATTTTAATATTAATGCTTATATAAAGGTAAATGTTAAAATTGTAATTATATATATATGAGTAATACTACATATTATATGATACAGAGGCCAAATAAAATGCTTTATTCCCCAAATTATCACTAGTGATAATTAAAATTGACTTTCTGAGTTAAATCAGAAATCTATACTTAAATTTAACATAGAATTTTGATGAACAGAATGTGCAAAATATATTTCAGACCTGTAAATAAAAACATAAATCTAAAAAATTTAATTCCCCTCACATTGAATCACCCAAGTAAAAACAACAAAACTTAAGAAACAGAATTGTCGATTATTGATGAGGACATATGAAATGAGTGCTTTCCTGGTAAGCCAATGATTTTAACATCTAGCAAGAAATAATCACATATGTGAAGAGATCTCTGAAACTTTCCTGAAGAGTTTAAGAGAAGAACTGAATAAAAGTAGAGACATACCATGTCCTGGAAACAGAAAGATAAAAAAAAGAATTATAAAGAGATAAAGTCTCCCTCAAATAATGTACAGTTTTTGTGTAATCCAAATCAATATCCTTAGCGGTCCATTTTAATGGAGCTTGACCGGCTGGATTTAAAATTCACCTATGAGGTTAAGATGCCAGAGATGGCAAGAAAAAAATATGTAAGGAATATTAGTACCTGGGTTTTGATTATATGATAAAGTGATTTGCTGCCTCTTTTCTTCAAGAAATCACACACCCTAAGGGTTTGAATAGAAATTAAGCACACTTGTTGACATTTCACTCAAAAGTTTTTTAAAAAGGAACATTCCTGCAGTTCAACACTTCAGCGGTTTCTCTTGGCAATTCCCCCTCCCCTGATTCAGGGAGGGGCTTTCTGTTCTTCATAGAGCCAGGGGGCGGACCCTTCTCTGAGCCTCTAGGAAAGGAGCTGTGCCTGGCCAGTCTTGGGGGAGGAGCTGCATTTCACCAGGCTGCAGCTGACAAGAAGCTTCAAGGTAATGGCTGTCTTAAAGCTATTTATTTTCTAGTGACTTCTCAGGATCTTAGAGTAAAGATGAGAAAAATAGGAGTGGCAGTCTTGCAGTGGTGGGAAAGGTGTGTGGTTTTGAGAAGTGCTGGCATTTTCAAGGAGTTAATCCTCTGGAATTTTTGTATCTTCCAATGCTTTACAAGTCCACAGTGGGAGAAGGGGTGATCAGATTACAGCCTCTAAATTAAGGCTTCAGTGCAGCATGACTTTTCCTGCTAATTTATTGAGTTGGCATTCCCTGTTTATATTGTTAGACACTCCGTTATTGTTTGAATGTTTAGGCATTTATTAATTTGCACAGAAAAATAACTTAGAAGTATTTGACAACATGGGGGGAAATACACCTATAAGTTGATTGTTACATAAAAAGACTGTATGTGTCACATGTTCATGAGCATGGAAAAGGGATCAAATATGTAGTTGAGTGAAGATACTTTCACATAATATATGCATGTATATATGTGATTTTTAAAATCTGGAAGAAAATAATCTCTCATGTTAACAGCATTTCTGTGTGACCAGGTCACCATTGCAATATTATTTTTTAACCTATTTCAGCATCTTTAGAGTAGATTACTCAGTGATTATTTTTATAATCATGAAAGAAAAATGAAGCTGAAGCAGCATACCCATTTTGTTTCAAGTACATAAACACACATAGACACACAAAGACATGCTCCCATATCCCCCCATCTTCTGCCAATAGTGGAAATTTTCCAGGACCTGATCAAGTGGGTAGTGTAGTTGCCGTGTCAACTACAGTCCTGCATGTGTCCTCCCTGCAGTTTATTCTTTCAGATCACAGATACCAGCGTGGTCAGGAAGAGCCATTTTTCTGTATCATCTAAGTTTAAGAGTGAGAAACAGAGGATTTGGTTTATTTCTATACACAGTTTTCAAAATATGTGGCATGGTACATCTATACAATGAAATACTATGCATTTGGCAAATGTCTGAGAAACAGTATAAGGTGAAAAAAATTATATAATAGCACATACTATATGTTCTCACTTAAGAAAAAATATGTATGTTAGTATACCTATGTATGTTACTACAACCAAATCAGGAAAAACATATCTATGAAAGTTTTAACAGGATTACTTGTATAGTTGTAGAGACAGGGATGGCTTTACCATTTTCTACTCTTTAAAATTATTTATATATATTTATTTGGGGTTTGTTAAATCTTCAGGGAAATACTGAGATAAAATGCTACAGGCTTGGGGGAAAACCTCATTTAAAGTAATTTATATCAAATTATGTGGAAAATCTTGAGGTGAAAGATGTTCAAGCTATGCTCTTGAGTGGGATCTGAGGCTGGTTTCAAATGGTTTCAAATTTTCAAATGAGATACATTTATCTTTATATGTAAAAATGTTCTAGAAATACATATAGAAAATATTCCTAGCAGTTATTTGTCTAGGGTTGTACTTTATTTTGCATATATCTTTCTGCATCTTCTCAATTTTTAATAAGCTTCTGGATGTTTTCATAATCAGAAACACTGTAGTTGAAGACATTATGATCTGGTTAGAATCCCACACAACAAAACCTTAAATTTAACATAGAAAATTCTAGAAGCCTGAGAAGACTCCTGGCTAACTGGATGTAGTCCTTATGGAATAAGGATGGAAACTACATCTGATAGTGAGTGAAGTTCCCTTCAACTCATGAGTAATTCTGGTTGTCATCATAAGAGGGCACTTGACAGATTTTCTAAATTTTCTCCAGCCAACCATTGTTATGAAGTAGACAAACAAAGCAATGAATCTATTTTGTATTAGTAAACTATGAGACAGCATGTAATTGCAATTCCACTGAAAAAAAACTGTATGTGTAAAGAAGAAAACTTCCACATGATAACTGATGTGAGTATTCAAACAAAATCTACATGCTGACTCATACCACTCCACCATACTTTTCTTCAGAGATGATTTCAACATAAACTAAATAGCATAAATTTATCCCAGAGAGCATTTCAAATTATAAAAATCAGAAGGAAAATAAACATGGCATCTACATCACAGATGAAATTTTGCCTCATTCCTATGTTTTAGAATTACATACCTGTTAGAGTTTAGGTAGGGAAAATTCTTGACACCTTTCCCATTTTGTTGGTTTTATTCCCTGCCTTCCTTTTGAACAGCATAGGTTAATATCAGAGATGCACATGACCTGGGCAATCTGCATGTGATACCAGCCAAGCCCCGGGAAGACAGTACAGCCACAGAAGTGCTGAGTCTGGTGAAGGCCCTTCTGGACAAGCAGTTGGAGTGAGAATCAAGACAACTGGACCACAGGACCAGACCCACCAGGATCCACGTGACAGTGGGTAAGACTCTTCCAATGTCACAAAACATTTCACGGTAGAAACATGTTGAGAACTTGGAGAATAATGTATTTTGCCTCCTGCTCTACAGCCGTCCTAGCATTTTAAATTAAAAGTCATATTTCCTGTTAGAATCATGTTAGGTTGATAATTTGGGGTACAATTCATTTTGCTCCCTGTTCTGCATCCATGACACTTTATAATTAAAAGTCGTAACTTCTAGTTTGGAGAAGAATCTCACTTTTTAAACCTTTATGAAGAAATCACCCAAGAGGCTATTCAGGTGTCTTCCTGAGGTTCAGGCCAATGGCCTGACTCTCCAATCCTTTGTAATGATCCTATCCAACAAGTTGTCATAGCAGTAATTCTGACTCTCTGCCTTCTAAAATTATGCTTTTAGAAGAGTCATTGTATTTTTGTCTGGGTCCAGGAGATACAGACCCTGTTGTCTTTGTCTGCCTGCTCTGGGTGAACAGTGGAGCACTTGCAGCTTAAAAAACATAAAGCTGTGTTTTCAACTAGAACACTGCTCCTCAAAGAGTTATTTTTAAACATGTAGCATTAGAAGCACTTAAGAACTTTTTAGAAATACAAACTTTTGAGCACAAGCCAAACCTTCTGAATAAAACTCTCACGATGGGGCCTAGAAATATAAGTCCTCCAGATGATTCTGACACATGTTAAGTTTGGAGACCCACTGCTATAGGTATGACATTAGGGACACAAAAGTACCAAAGTATGTACTTACATAAATAGAGTTCCTGACATCCCATCACAAGCTCTCCCACCTCTCCTTCCATGTGCATGCATTCCCTTCTTAGTATGCATGTTCAATAATGAGGGCAAATTCTTGAATTTGAGGTATTATAAAACAACTTTTCTGGTTTTTGCCCACCCCCGCCCCTGCAATCTTATATTATGCTGCCTCCTCTGTCTCATGCCCCACTGAGCATTGTGTTTTTATCTACTCTCCACTTGTAATTACTCACCTCCTGTTTTGGCAAAATAATTGTATTTGCTGATACTTTTCTTCTTTTCCTTTTCCCTATTTCAGTATCTTCCGGTATTGTCCCATTCAAACAACGTTTTCAAGCTTCCTTGGAAAATTGAGGTGGAGAACAGGCCACACAAACTGTAAACCCTTTGTAGTCATAAGACGAAAGAGGCTTTGTTAAGAGTATTGTTTTGGGTAGAACTTGCATTAGCAGTTACAAAGACAGCCACCTCAACTTTGGTAATAACCCTTGGCACACAAATATAAAACATAATGGAGTCTGAGTATGTCCTATGCCACTGGAAAGACCAGTTATGGCCAGCAAAAGTTTTGTCCAGATCTGAAACTTCATCAAACAGTAAGAGGAAAATGGGATTTTCTCTAGAAGTTCAAATACTCTCACTAGATGAAAAAATTAAAATGGACAGCACAGAAACAGAAATCCTAAATAAATCTCAAATTGAAGCCATTGCTGCCTCATTAGGACTACAGTCAGAGGACAGTGCTCTGCCTAAAGAGGAAACTGCCTATGGAAGATCACTAAAAGTGGCACTGGATATTCTGAATGAGAGAACAAATTTGAGTCAAGCAAGCACTTCAGATGAAGAGGAGATCACTATGCTGTCTCAAAATGTACCACAAAAACAGTCTGATTCGCCCCCTCATAAAAAATACCGGAAGGATGAAGCCGACTTACCAGAGTGTCTTCAGGAAAGTGAAAACTCAGCATGCTTATTAGCATCTTCAGAGAGTGATGATTCCCTGTATGATGATAAATCACAAGTGCACACAATGGCCAATACTATTCCAAGTGAAGTGGAAACAAAGTCATTACAAAACTCTAGCTGGTGCGAGACTTTCCATTCACTTTCAGAAGATAATGATGAAAAAGAGAACAAGAATAAGATTGATATCTCAGCAGTTATGTCTGTGCATTCTGCAGTAAAAGAGGAAAGTGCATATGTTAAAGATGAAAAGTTTGCTCCACCCTTGTCATCAGATATCCTCACTATGCCCAAAACTTTGAAAGAAGAGAGCCAGGATCCATGCCCAGAGACCCTGGCTGTTCCTTCTGAATGCTCTGCTTTCTCAGAGAATATTGAAGATCCTGGAGAGGGTCCCTCAAATCCATGCTTAGATACCAGTCAGAATCAACCTTCTGTGGAATCAGAGATGGGGGCTGCAGCATGCCCTGGGAGTTGTTCAAGGGAATGCCAGGTTTCATTTAGTGCCTCTAACCCTGTCTGGGATTATTCACGTCTTATGAATAGTGAAAGAAATTTTCAGAGAGTGGATTTTGAAGAACTTGAGGAAGACGGTCAAGCCTCTGACAAGTCATTGCTTCCAAGTCGCATTAATCTTTCTCTATTAGATGATGATGAGGAAGACGAAGAACTTCCACGCTTCATTTTACATTATGAGACACGTCCATTTGAAGCAGGAATGATAGTCTGGTTTAAATATCAGAAATACCCATTTTGGCCAGCAGTGATTAAAAGTATCAGACGAAAAGAGAGGAAAGCAAGTGTGCTTTTTATTGAGGCAAACATGAATTCTGAAAAGAAGGGCATTAGAGTAAATTTTAGAAGATTAAAGAAATTTGATTGTAAAGAGAAACAAATGCTAGTGAACAAAGCCAGGGAGGATTATAGTGAGAGTATTGACTGGTGCATCTCACTAATTTGTGACTACAGAGTTAGAATAGGCTGTGGTTCTTTCACAGGCTCTTTGCTTGAATATTATGCTGCTGATATTAGTTACCCAGTTAGGAAAGAAATAAAACAGGATACTTTCAGGAACAAATTTCCAAAGCTGCATAATGAAGATGCCAGGGAACCGATGGCTGTGACTTCCCAGACCAAGAAAATGTCCTTCCAAAAAATTCTCCCTGACCGGATGAAGGCTGCTCGGGACCGAGCCAACAAGAACCTGGTGGACTTCATTGTGAATGCGAAGGGAGCAGAGAACCATCTTCTGGCCATTGTAAATGGCACTAAAGGATCCAGATGGCTGAAATCATTTTTGAATGCAAATAGGTTCACACCCTGTATTGAAACATACTTTGAGGATGAAGATCAGTTGGATGAAGTGGTGAAATATTTACAAGAAGTCTACAATCAAATAGATAAAATAATGCCAACTTGGATAAAAGATGACAAAATTAAATTTATCCTAGAAGTTCTTCTGCCAGAAGCAATTATTTGTTCAATTTCTGCTGTTGATGGGTTAGATTACGAGGCAGCTGAAGCAAAGTATCTAAAAGGACCATGTCTAGGCTACAGGGAAAGAGAATTATTTGATGCAAAAATAATATATGAAAAGAGACGAAAACCACCAACAAATGAAGCTCACTAAATGTGCTGAAAGTTGAAACCATGACAGGGAGCTCTCATAGATACTAGTTGAAAAAAATCTCTGAACAATTCTCTCTTAATACATATTTTCTGCAAATGGGAGAATGGATAATGTGTTCACTTCTTTTTTGAGATATCTAGGATCTGTGGTTATAATTACATCTTTATTTCCTTTTCTTGCGCTTCTTCAAAGTTAATTTTGTCAACATATTTCAGCAGTTCTACTTTCCCATACATTTTTAGAAAGCATAATTCCTAAATGATTTAGAAGGGAAAGTACCATTTTGTTTTATGACACTTTAGAATCTATGCTGTATTGTTAAATATATTGTGCACAATTATTTTAATGTTAAAATTGCACTGGTGTTAGATATTAACCAAGATGATTGGAAAAAAGTCTAAAAGATACATCATTTCTATATTCCTCGCTTAATTTTTATAAAATATTGGGTTTTCCCTCACATAGTTGAATTATTTTTCTTGCCATGCCTATTTATTTTTGCAAAAAAAATTATCTGATGTATAGAACCAAAGATAGATTTGCTTTGCTATATATTATAACTACACTTGCTTTTGCAATAAAACAACTTGTAATTCAAAAATGAAGATTATCTGCATGTAGTATTTATGTGTGTGAATAACATCTTGGCATGCAGAAAATAATTTTGGCTGCTTTTAACAGAATTGTTCATTCTACACTTCCCTGAAATTCCATTTTTGGGAGTGTCTGTCCTTCAATGGCTGAATAGTTCCTTAAATCAGTCAAGCTCCTGGCTATCTTCATAACTAACAGTGAGTGGGTCTTCTTAATATAGGTGTCTGACCACATGTGGAAGGCAGCTAGACTTATTGTATTTACAGCCTGGCCACTCTAGACATATGAATCCAGGCTGACTGCTTAAGTGCCCATCTCGTTTGATATAAACTGTAGAAAAGGCAAGCACTTTGTTCTGAGTCTTTTATCTCCAAATACATAGTTGTCTCAAACCAAGCAAGCTTTATCAAAATGGCTTATTTGTAGAATAGTTTCAATGATACAAATGCCAACTGGCAAGTCATTCCAAACTGCTTGAAGGAGTAGATGGACCAGAATCTGAGAATTTGGAAATAGGTCACAGAAAAAGCCTCCATTTGGCTAAATATGACAATGTCTGAGTATGGTTAAACATACACAATTAAAAGTCTGAAGCCAACGAGTTGTTTATTCTAACTTGAAATATATTTTTGTGAGAAAAAATGTTAGAAAAGTTAGTTTATTTAAAAAACTTGCTGTGAAAGGAAATTCTAAGGGCTTAACATGAAGCTGTCTGCATTTTTACCTGTTAGACAATGGTCGCCCTTGGGCTCTTGTTATACATTCACATGGCTACGCGTTTATGTAAAGTTTGCAAAAATTTGGTGTTTTGATTTACAATAAAACTATTATATTATTCACCTTGGATTTTTACATCATCCTACTTGAAACTGTGCAGCTACATAAGTGGTGTTTCTCCAAATTTAACACACACACACACACACACACACACACAAAATGTATATATATGATTTGTTTGGAATTTTTGGTTCTTGTAGTTGCCATCATCTTAATACTTGCTATAAGTTGTCATTCTAAATAAGTATTCCCTTTCATGTTGATTTTGTATTACTTTAATAGAAAGCCTACTGAATTTTATAAGCCGCATGTCCCACAAAACCTCTCTGGACCCTGACTAAAAAAGACCAAGACTTCTTAGACATACAGCCTCTATCAATCCACATACCTTCCTCATTGCCCTAAGAAGTGATTTACAACAAACCATCATCACACTGTATGTGGATTTTATACCCTGGATAAAACACACTTATTTGCTCTATAATTGTATTAGTCCATTTTCACACTGCTGATAAAGCTACACTAGAGACTGGGCATTTTACAAAAGAAAGAGGTTTAATGGACTTATAGTTGCACGTGGCTGGGTGGGGGCCTCACAATCATGGCAGAAAGCAAATCACATCTTACATGGATGGCAGCAGGCAAAGAGAGAGAGAATTCATGCAGGGGAGTTCCTCTTTATAAAACAATCAGAATTCATGAGACTTATTCACTATCATAAGAACAGCATGGGAAAGACATCCCCCCATGATTGAATTATTTCCCATTGGGTCCCTCCCATAAAACATGGGAATTCAAGATGAGATTTGTGTTGGGACAAAGCCAATCCATATCATTCCACCCCTGGCCCATCCCAAATCTCATGTCCTCACATTGCAAAACCAATCATGCCTTCCCAACAGTCCTCCAAAGTCTTAACTCATTTCAGCATTAACTCAGAAGTCCACAGTCCAATGTCTCATCTGAGACAAAGCAAGTTCCTTCTGTGTACGAGCCTGTAAAATCAAAAGCAAGTTAGTTACTTCCTAGATACAATATGGGTATAGGCATTGAGTAAATACAGCCATCCCAAATGGGAGAATTTGGCCAAAACAAAGGGGCTACGAGCCCCATGCAAGTCTGAAATCCAGCAGGGCAGTCAAATCCTAAGTCTCCAAAATGATCTCCTCTGACTCCATGCCTCATACCCAGGTCATGCTGATGCAAGAGGTTTGTTCCCATGGTCTTGGGCAGCTTCACTCTTGCAGCTTTGCAAGGTATAACCTCCCTCCTGGCTGTTTTTATGGGCTGGCATTGAGTGTCTGCAGCTTTTCGAGGTGCACGGTGCAAGCTGTTGGTGGATCTACCATTCTAGGGTCTGGAGTATGGTGGCCCTCTTCTCACAGCTCTATTAGGTGGTGCCCCAGTAGGGACTCTGTGTTGGGGCTTCAACCCCACATTTCCCTTCTGCACTGTCATTGCAGAAGTTCTCCATGAGAGCCCCACACCTGCAGCAAACTTCTGCCTGGGCATCCAGGCATTTCCATACATCCTCTGAAACCTAGGCAATGGGTCCCAAACCCCAATTCTTGACTTCTGTGCACTGGCAGGCCCAACACCACATGGAAGCTGCCAAGGCTTGAGGTTTGCACCCTCTGAAGCCATGGCCCGAGTGCTACATTGACCCCTTTCAGCAATAGCTGGAGTGGCTGGCACACAGGGCACCAGCACTGCACACTGCACAGGGATCCTGGGCTGCACACAGCATGGAGATCCTGAGCCTAGCCCCTGAAACCACTTTTTTCTCCTAAGCCTTTGAGCCTGTGATGGGAGGGGCTGCTTTGAAGACCTCTGACATGTCCTGGAGACATTGTCCCCATTGTCTTTGGGATTAACATTCTGCTCCTCATTACTTATGCAAATTTCTGCAGCTGGCTTGGATTTCTCCTCAGAAAATGGAGGGGTTTTTTTCTATCACATTGTCTGGCTGCAAATTTTATGAACTTTTATGCTCTGCTTCCCTTATAAAACTGAATGCCTTCAATAGCACCCAAGTCACCTCTTGAATGCTTTGCTGGTTAGAAATTTCTTCCACCAGATACCCTAAATCATCCCTCTTAAGTTCAAGGTTCCACAAATCTCTGGGCCTGGAGCAAATTGCCACCAGTCTCTTTGCTAAAACATAACAAGAGTCACCTTTGCTCCATTTCCAAACAAGTTTCTTATCTCCATCTGAGACCACAGCCTGAATTTCATTGTTCATATCATTATCATCATTTTGGTCAAAACCACTCAACAAGTCTAGGGAGTTTCAAATTTTTCCACATTTTCCTGTCTTCTTATGAGCCCTCCAAACTGTTCCAACATCTGCGTGTTACCCAGTTCCAAAGTTGCTTCCACATTTTCAGGTATCTACAGCACACCCCACTCTACTGGTGCCAATTTACTGTATTAGTCTGTTTTCACAATGCTGATAAAGACATCCCAGAGACTGGGCAATTTACAAAAGAAAGAGATTTAATGGACTTCCCATTCCACATGGCTGTGGGGGACCTCACAATCATGGCAGAAGGCAAAGAGGAGCAAGTCACATCTTACATGGATGGCATCAGGCAAAGAGAGAACTCGTGTGGGGGAGTTCCTCTTTATAAAATGATCAGATCTCATGAGACTGCACTATCACAAGAACAACATGGAAAAGACTTCCCCCCATGATTCAGTTATCTCCCACTGGGTCCCTCCCACAACACATGGGAATTAAAAATGAGATTTGGGTGGGGACACAGCCAAACCATATCAATAATGTTGTGTCCCTCTGATTTCAATATAATACCCACCTTTAGTTCTCTCAGTGGAGCTATCTCTGTCTCCTGGTTCTAATATTTGTGTTATTACCTCATTCATTCATTCATAGCATTGTGAGTCAAGAGAGCAAGTGATATGTGACTAAAGCTCCACTTCAAGGGTAGATTTCAGGTGCCATAGAAAGGAAATATTACTTCTGTGACCCAGATGAAAATCTAATTTCTAAGATGAGTAGGATGCACTACATCATCATAGTGAGAAATTTTGATTAACTTCGTGCACAGACTGCCTGTACTTGAAAACCAGAGCCCAAGTTTCCTCATATCTGTGAGTTCCCAAGTGTCTGTTTTGTTTGTGGTAAAGATTGGACACCTGATCCCTCTTAAGATGTCATTTATTTTGGGGCATATTGAAGTTAAGGGAGGAATGCCTCAAACATGCATCCATTCTCCTCTTTGAATGAATCACTGAATGGCATTTGAGATGTGAAAATGGATGAATTTGGCTTCCAACACACTGTGGACTCAGATCCCTTCCAGACTGAGTAGCTGTTAAGGCAACTCTAAGATTGCCCTAAGCTGGATCTCTAATGTAGGTTTGTGTGTCTGATTGGAGAGCCTGACTTCTTATCCACCCTAACCCACTGGGTTAAGGAAACCCTCATCTTTTCTAGTCATAAGGCAGACTGCTGAATATCAGGCCCAGCTTCTAATCTGGCCCAGGTCTACAGAGCTGCAAGAACACCACATACATAATGCTTACAGATTTAGATAGATCGATCGATATATATATAGATGATAAATAGATAGATAGATAGATAGATAGATAGATAGATAGATAGATAGATAGATAGATTGATAGATACATAGATTGATAGATAGATACATAGATACATAGAAATAGAGATATCCTGATAAGGAAAGAATAAAACCATGAATCTGGTAATAGCCGAGTGTAAGAATCAATCCCCTCAACCCACAGCCTAGCAGAAGCAGCCCCCTTAAACCCATGCTATTGGAGAGCAGCCTCCCTGTTCCTGGAGACAAGCCAATAACTTCATCTAAGACACCTACCTCAAAAGAAATAGCTTGTGTTAATATCCAGCACTGATATTTTTAATTGCTTCCAACCCATGACAAAAGTAACATGTTACACAGCACAAGGAGCAAAATATAATCTCTAAACAGGTGGAAAACACCTTATATTTAGAAGGAAATACAGGAACTGGCTAATATGCATTAACATCAACTAGGATAATATATGTTAGAACGGATTTTGAGATTGTAAAACTAGCAAGGAAAGGGAGCAGAATATGCAATCATAGGGGAGAACTTATTGGCATGGGATCACACACCTGTGATTCAGAGTTCACTGATTTGGAGCTGGCCTAATACACTGCTAGGGTGTCATCTTTAAGCCTTAACCATGACAGCCCACCCAAACTTTCTTGCCAGAGTACTGAGGAATTGGTGAGAAGGTGAAATGAAGTGGCAGTATTAGAAGTGACTTATTGAGTGAGACAAGAGGACCTATCTCTGAACTACTTTCCCTAAGAGGGCAGAGAAGATATTCCGATAAGGAATGTGTTGATGAGGAGGAATACTGACATATTTTAGAAGCTTGATGTTGGCTCTCCTCTGCAAACCATGGTTGGAAGTAAACTATGCTGCAATGGAGATTATAAGATTCTAAAATGGATGGTAGGGCTCAGGTGACAGCATAAAACCTCAGGGGCATGGTAGGTATCATTACCATAATGGAAAGCAAGGTCAGAGTGGAGTCTGGCTAACTTGACTGACAGAAATGTCAGAAGCTGTGACAATGCCTTATAGATAGTAGTATTCCAGGGCTAGATGTACAGACAGCTGGCTGTACAACTTCTTTCATACAAAAATAAAAGATGTGACTTTAGGAGGCTGAGGCGGGCGATCATAAGGTCAGGAGATCGAGACCATCTCAATTGTCCTGCTACTTAAGCCATATGACTCAGCACAACTGATAATGCTTAAGGTATCTATGGTGGTTAAGGATGAAGTATCTAGCCATTATACAGGTGCTATAACACAGAATTCTGAGGTTCTGAAGAAAACCCATATCTCCTGTAACGACTTGCCATTTAAAAACATACCCTCATATGCTATTAAGGCATAATAGAAATAGAGTGCCTAATCAAGAGATAGCACGTGACATGAGTGGCCCATCATAAGTTGTACATTTAGATTCACCAAGTGATAAGGTCTGACAGGGTAAACAGCAATCCACCCCATGATGGAAATGCCATAT